AATACAAGGGAAAGTATTGATAAATGTTTAGAAAATCTTGTGAAATGTACGCATACTTTGTTTGATAACTTTTGTGTTCGTAATAGACAGATATCGAACTGTTCATGTGTTTGCCATACTGGAAAGTTAGATAAGAAAGGGCCAGATAAACCTTGGTTCGATAATACTTGTAGATTGTTGTATAATAGATATAAAAGTGCGTTATTGAGTTTTAATGTAGACCGGTCATTGACAAACAGAGTAAGCCTTGCGCAAGCCAAAAAACAGTATAAAGTATGTGAGAGGAAGTTGAAGCGAGCCTATTTGAGAATGGAAGGGAACATGCTGGATCTGTTAAAGAGGAATAATCCTAAAGAATTTTACCGTAATTTTTCTAAGCGGAAGGCCTGTGATACGGGTAATTTATCGTTAACTGATTTTTTTCAATACTTCAAAGGTCTCGCTGATGTACCTATCGTCGAAAGTCGAGGTCATAGTTTGATTGATAGAAATACTGATTGTGTTTATCCAGAGTTAGATGTGGATTTTAGCATTGAGGAATTAACAGATGTAATTAGGGGTTTGTCTCGTGACAAGTCGGCTGGTACTGATATGTTACTTAACGAATACATAATTGAATATAGAGATATTTTTTCCCCTGTTTTGATCAGGTTATTTAATTCTATGTTACATGTAGGATATTTTCCAGAGTCCTGGGCGCAGGGTGTTATTATACCTCTTCATAAAAAGGGGGATAAAAACAATGTGAATAATTACAGGGGAATAACATTAATTAGTCATCTAGCTAAGTTATTTACTTCCTTGTTAAATAAAAGATTATTAAAATGGAGTACAAGAGAGGATATTGTTACCGATGTCCAATTTGGTTTTAAACCTGGGTTTGGTACCAGGGATGCTATTTTTACATTACATAGTTTAATAATAAATACATTAGAACAAAACAAAAGGCTGTATTGCGTATTTGTAGATTACAGCAAAGCTTTTGATAGTGTAACACATGATAAACTTTGGTATAAACTTTGGAAAAGTGGTGTTAGTGGCAGACTGCTAAATGTAATTAGATCTATTTATGATAATGTTCGTTCTTGCATAAATTTAAATGGTAAATTGTCTACTATGTTCGATTTACATGTCGGTTTATTACAAGGGGAATCGTTATCGCCCATGCTTTTTTCATTATTCGTTAATGATATGGAGAGTGAGTTTTTAAATTCCAATTGTCAAGGTTATGAACTACAATTGATTAATCTGTTTATGTTAATGTATGCCGATGACACAGTTTTGTTTTCGGAAGATGTTAACAATCTTCAGCACATGCTAGATTGTCTGCAATGTTACACTGATAAATGGAATTTAACTGTTAATTATGATAAAACTAAAATTGTAATTTTTAGAAAAAGTAAAAGAATCTTACCTACTGAAAACTGGACGTTTAATGGCAAGTCAATTGAGATAGTGGACAAATTTTGTTATCTAGGATTAGTTTTTTATTATAATGGAAGATTCACCGTAGCACAAAACACGTTGGCATCTCAAGGCAGGAATGCTTTTTATCTTTTAAAAAGAAGAATGAAAGATTTTATCCTTAATACTGAAACTAAATTATCTTTGTTTGATACATATGTGACATGCATACTGAACTATGGATGTGAGGTATGGGGTAATTGTTTATCGCCGCAAATCGAAAAAGTCCATCTTCTCTTTCTTAAAGATTTATTAAACGTTAAGAAAACCGTCAATAGTTCTATGGTTTACTTTGAGACAGGAAGTTATTCCTTACATATAAAGCGCAAAGTAGCTATAATTAAATACTGGTTAAATATTTTGAATACAAATAACTGTGTACTAAAAGCATGCTATGATGCACTACTTGAGCTTAATGTCAAAAAGCCGAATTGTAAACTTAACTGGGTTTATCATGTTAAAAATGATTTATATAGAATGGGTTTTAATCATATTTGGGATGTTCAATATGTTCCAAATGAAAAACAATTTGTGGAAATGTATACCCAACGTCTGCATGACGTATTTATTCAGGAATTACGTGGTGCGTTTGAAACATCTTCTAAATGTTATTTATATAGACATCTTGTCGATACTTTTAATATGCAATTCTATTTAGTAAAGCCTTTAACATTTAATACCAAAAAAATGTTGAGTCAATATCGCATGCAGGCGCATTCCCTTAATATCGAATCTGGACGTTATAATGGGGTTCCGAGAGGTCAAAGATTATGTTTTGCCTGTGACAAAAATGATTTAGAAGATGAGATACATTTTATTCTTATTTGTCCTGCTTACTCTGTATTGAGAAACACATACATTAAGCAATATTACTTCCGATGCCCCAGTGTGTATAAATTAATTGAATTATTGTCATGTAAAAGTATTAAAACATTACGTAGATTGGGTCTGTATTTAAAATATGCTACCGCCAAAAGAAAAACCCTCGTGTAGTAATATTGCTAAATGATGTATTCTTTTTATGTGATAATTGCTTATATGGAATTGTCCTCCGCCATCTTGAAAATTTGAAATATGTTTTGTATTCTATGTATCAATTAACCTATATGCTGATTTGCATTCGGAAATAAAAAACTTAAACTTAAACTAATCAGTCTGACCATTATCACACCTGTACAGTACCACACCTGTACAGTACCACCTGTACAAGACCAGTATCATAACTGTACAATAGCATACCTGTATCAGTCTGACCAGTATCACACCTGTATCAGTCTGATACCAGGTACCACCTTTCCGATAGCTATAGGCGAGTTCGTTATCCATTGCGCCTCCAACCGACCAAAATCACAACTTTAGCATCTACTAAAAACATTTCGTTGTATTCCATTATTATATACTTGTTAACCAGATTATAGAATGTTAATAACCCCTAGATATTATCCTGGATTCAAAGTTTGTTGTTTACCGGCAAAGGCACCTGTATTAGTCTGACCACAGTGACCAATATCATACCTGTATCAGTCTGACCATTATCACACCTGTATCAGTCTGACCAGTATCATACCTGTATCAGTCTGACCAGTATCACACCTGTATCAATCTGACCACAGTGACCAGTATCACACCTGTATCAGTCTGACCATTATCACACCTGTATCAGTCTGACCAGTGGCAGTATATAATAATAATAATTAGAGGTTCTAATATACAGCTTTATCACAACCTAGTAGGTCGTCTCAAAGCGGTTCACAAATTATTACCTGTGGCTATAGAGCCTTTGCAACCAGCCAATATCTTTCTCAACCCCCTGGGGAGCATACAGTCGATGCTGCCATTTCGGCACTCACAGTTAGCATTCAACAATTCTAGCACTGCCCAACAACATACTCATTTATAGCTGAGTAGACTGGGACAAGCGGAGTAAAGTATCTTGCTCAAGGATACAACACAGTGCTGTGACACGACTCGAACCAGCAACCCTTCGGTTACGAGCCTGGCGTCCTACCACTAGACTACCATGCCTCCATACAGTGATACACATGTAACACCTGTATCAGTCTGACCATTATCACACCTGTACATGACCAGTATCACACCTGTATCAGTCTTGACAGTATCACACCTGTATCAGTCTGACAGTATCACACCTGTATCAGTCTGACCATTATCACACCTGTATGAGTCTGACCATTATCACACCTGTATCAGACTGACAGTATCACGACTGTATCAGTCTAACCATTAGCCCACCTATATCAGTCTGACAGTATCACGACTGTATCTGTCTAACCATTATCACACCTGTATCAGTCTGACCATTATCACACCTGTACATGATCAGTATCACACCTGTATCAGTCTTGACAGTATCACACCTGTATCAGTCGGACAGTATCACCCCTGTATCAGTCTGACCATTATCACACCTGTCCATGACCAGTATCACACCTGTATCAGTCTGACCATTATCACACCAGTATCAGTCTGACCATTATCACACCTGTATCAGTCTGACCATTATCACACCTGTACATGATCAGTATCACACCTGTATCAGTCTTGACAGTATCACACCTGTATCAGTCTGACAGTATCGCACCTGTATCAGTCTGACCATTATCACACCAGTATCAGTCTGACCATTATCACACCTGTATCAGTCTGACCAATATATCACTACTGTATCAGTCTGACAGTATCACACCTGAATCAGTCTGACCATTATCACATCTGTATCAGTCTGGCCAGTATTAAATCTGTGCATGCTTAAGCTATGTAGGGTACTTTGCCATACATGACCAGGGTATTATATATTTTGTATGCCAATAACTAGATCTATCAGGAACAGAACAAGACAGAACAGATATTTCTAAGCATGACAAACCAAATAGTAGCCACACCAGCATTAGTCACTCACTCTATGGTGAATGTTTGTAAATAATCCCTTGGTGAAAACGAGAAACTATCTGTAGATCATCATCTGAGACACATTTCTTAAACAAAGGCACCTGACAACATAAACAAATAGCATCCATGCATCATGGCTACCACCATGGAATACACATGTAAGGAAAATATGCATCTACCTCTTAATTTTTTTATGTGTATAGAAGTATGTACATCATTTGGGTTCTACTGAAGACAATTCAATATATACCCATGCTTATTTTACATGATAAAACAAAAGTAACACAATAAAGTAGAAAGACAAGAATCATTTCTTCATGACAAATTCTTTACCATATATCATTCATAATACATAGATATGCATATGCATTTATAATTAGTGCTAAATTGAAATGAGGAACCTCGTATTTCGGCTTTAATACTTGGTATATTGATACACAATGTTGCATATATACAACTGTATATTAACTTGAAACCTGGATAACCTAACTGACTGTTGACATAAAAGTATGTTGACAAAAATTATCTATCCCTATAAAAACAAACAGTGGCATGCATGTCATGGTTTTCAATCCTTGACCTTGATTTAGGATGTATAAATTATCATTTTAGCTAGTCCAACTCACCTCGTCATACATGAACTGAAGTGTAAGTGCAGACTTGCCCACGCCTCCACTCCCAACCATTATAACTTTATGTATAACTGCAGGCTGCTGTGTCTTTGCCTTCGACATGACTGCAGGCTTAGGTCGCCGGTTCCAACAACTAAACATGATAAAAAATCCAATGTACACAAGATATACCAGTAGCAGTACAAATAAATCCTTTTGATGAGTAACACACTTAGTTACACTGCACTTTTCTGTCCTGTTGTGCCTGATTTATAGAGGACGCTCTCTATATAAGGGTATTGGTCATTTCTTGAACGAATCAGTCATTATTTTTACATGTCTGAGTCATGGTAAAACAGAAAAGGGAAATAACTGTAGCGCTGTCACATTAAACCAAAATCAATACCGGACTATAAATGTAAACACACGAAAAGTCATGTTAAACAGTCACTTCCTGTCGCGTAGTTCTGTTCGGGTTTTCCCCCCAATGAATGAAGTTAAATGTGATTGAGTACCAACACGGACGACGTACAGATGTAAACACAGAGCTGAATGGGTGTGACAGTGATCACCTCATCTCATCACTGTCGTTTGTAGTAATTTCTTTTATATTGAAATGGTGCATCATATACTTACTGTTAAATCTGCCGAACTAATTCAAATAATTTGATAATCGTTATAATTATAGCTAAATCATGACGGACATGTACACGATTTGTAATACACAACTTGTGTATTGCACTGTATTGTCAGTTCACTCGGTAACTTTGGGTTTGGCCGGCTAAACAGAAACGAAAAAAAGAAACCCTTTACAAGGAAACGCACTGCTATTGATCGGAACGTAAAAATAAACATAATTTATACTCAACTTACCAGTAAAATTACAGATCAGTGTACTCCAGTTTAAGGTAGAAGCCAAACTTTCAAACATTTAAAATAAAGTCCAACTCTGAAAGTGGAAATGGCGATTCCCTGAGTGCATTATGGGACTTCCGATTTGGTTGATTGTAATTTTGGAAATGGAGCATACTTACGAACATTTTTTCACGTTTTGCTCTCCAAGGGAGATAACTCGTATAGACATATCCAACAATTTTCCGGTTTTGCAAAAATGCCTTCAGCTTACATTTTATGTGTGTCTTAGATATCTACAACGTACGTGTCTATTAATAGAGCCCATTAATTAATTGAGTCAGGTTCACATTTTCATGTAACTTTTGACATTTTCTTATTGTATTCCATTGAATAAGATTTAATATAAACGACGATCCATGTTTAAAAAGGTGATAGAACATTTATGCTGTAGCACTGTTCAATTTCCGAGAATGGCATCGTTAATTCTGTTTTTAACTGAATTTAACCTTGCTCCACTTGCTTTAAAAAGATTTAAGATATATATCATTCACTTGGATTGGGAACTTGATAAAAATGCTGCAATTGAGTGCTGTAAGACAATGTGAGCGTTGAATGTCGTTGATTATGGTAGATGAAAACGATTGCCAGTATATTGTAATAAGCTTCGATGAACATTGAGTGCAAGTATATGGACTACCATACGTCAAATAGAAGGTTAAATTAAATATTACGTTTATTAGACTGGCTACCAGCCCCTAAGTTTTTATTAAGAATTTCTCAACTGCATTTTACTACTAGCCTATCTCCCCCCGTTTAGAACTTAGGATCCAAGTGATCAAAATTGTAAGAGTTATTTTTTTCTTAATAATCAAATATTCCAGAGACGGGAGATGCGTTTTAAAGCAAATTTAGCTAAGTTCCCCTTCAGGGCCCCGCCCCCTGGCCTCAGGGGTCGAACCAACCTCATTTATTTAAGAAATAATTGTCCTTCCCTACTGATGCTTCAGTCCAAATTTGGCTGAATTCCTCTCTGGCGTTTAGCAGGAGATGCGTATTTAAGCAAATTTAGCTAAGTTCCCTTTCAGTCTATACGTGCATGTGTATGACAACTTGTATGATCTGATCAGAGACGTATATATATATATATACGTCTCTGATCTGATGTAATATATACACTGTGATAACAATAAGGAGCCAATATATATGAGCACAGAAATTCAATCAAGCAATCAAGCAAGCAAGCAATCGATCGATCAATCAATCAATCAATCAATCAATCAATCAATCAATCAATCAATAATTGCCCCAACTTACTAGATTAGGTCGCCAGCAATCAACCCAGTCCATTTCAGTTTCAATTTTTTGGTACCGATCCATTTTCATTCTGGGTATAATTGGTTATACCTATAAATAATTTCGGTTTATTATAATTGATTTACGATCACACATAAACTGCCTCTATATCCATCACTGGTGCAAAAATATAACACAATGTATTAACGTTACGCTGGGTTCTATGTTAATTTCACGGACTTAGACAGTCTAATCTAATTCCATGGTTAATTTATCTTTTTTTCCCGTAATAATTCAAGTTTTCCAGACTTTGTTTTTATTCCATTTTGATGATATTCGACACACAGCTAGAGAAAATACCCAGCACGTACGTTTGTAAAGTTTATAGAATCAACCGTTTCCTATATAGTTGTAAGCATGATAAGGTTATTGGTCCTGTAACGACCTAGCAATAGTGATATAAATTGAGGTATGGCCTGTGAAATTGCGGTGAATATTCATTGACTCTAATTGTTCGTTAAACAATAATATATACATAATGTCTGAGTACGTCAGCACGACCTACGTCAAATACAGCTTCTTTCCAAACACCATCATGGAATGGAATGGACTACCATCAGAGGTCGTCGAGCAGCTGACTGTAGAGGCATTCAAGACCTCGCTCCGCAGTCATCTTGCAGAGTGAATGTGGATCCTGTAAATAGTTTTAACTTTTTAACCTGTTTTTAACGAACTTATGTGGAAGCCACGCTACACAAGTCTACCTGCAAGTTGATGCTGTTCGACGGCCCTTTGCAGTATCGCCGTAGATGTAAATGTCACCAACACATCGAACCATCGGGTCTAGCCCCACACTCGTAAAATCACCATTATCTGTCTGTAGTCTAGTCCAGATTGACGCATTCCTGGTTTTTTGACCTGGTTATTCATTGATGGTCTTTAAAAATAATTGAAACTTGTGCTTTAGATAAACTGTGTCATGATTTATTATTTTCAGACGGATTTTTAACTACTGCACTGATTTCTTGTAAAATCTACCCGTACTTTAAGCCAATGTTAGTTTGTTATTCAAAACACAATTTTAACATAGCATGTACCTATCATTTTGTTTGCAAAAATCACGTAATTTATTACCGAAGTTTTTAACTACATATACTTACGGTGGCGTACTCCGAATATGGTCAGCGATCCGGGTCAATCATAGCTATATAGGTTTCATCGGGTCCTTCAAACTTTTCTTGGTTTTAAGATTTTACATTTAAATCACTCATTAGAACAACATAATACCAGTGTTCAGTAATTCTGACATCTGTCTCTGTTTCACTGCTAAACACATTTAATAATAATAATATGCAACCTTTATACAGCACCCTATATAATTTGTAAATTATTCTAAGCGCTTTACAACAGATGGATAATAGTATTAGTTATTAGCGTTTAACAAAAAACGGCTTACAATTACCATTATACACTTGATCTTTAATTACCAAGTCTGGTCAGCTGGCTATCCAATGAAATGTACAGGGCCGTTTTCGTTTATTAAATAAGGTCGGACCAGAGACGTATATACTGGCTTTATATGTCTCTGGTCGGACCTAGTAATCTGATGCTGCTTTCAGGCGAGCCCTGACAAAGCCTTGCAAGGCCCACATAAACATTTGCAGGTCCGCCAGGATTTATACCCGAAATTGTTACATTTATAAACGGTCAAACCGGTTGTTCCGCATAAACGAACAGGCACAAAGCCTCTTTATAATTACCAAGTATGGGCAGCTTACTCTCCATTGAAATGTACAAGTCTCTTCATTATAATTACCAAGTCTGGTCAGCTTGCCCGTCATTGAAATGTACAATTCTTTGCTTTAATTACCAAGTATGGTCAACTTGATATCCATTAAAATGTACATGTCTCTCCTTTAGTTACCGATTCTTCGTTTTCCTTCTCGAGTTTTGTAGTGTCCTATACTCACAATATGTAGATATTACACTTCCGCGTTGGCCAAATAAATGATTTTCTTCTAAATTTCTTGATCCCAAAATATGTGATGTGTATTAGAAATTATAGTAAAGTTGTGGTATCGTGTATTATTTTCATTCTCGTATTATTACAAAGTTGGAATATTCGTGGTGTCATGTTCGGCACTCCATACCTCTGTGATACGTTACACAATGTTGGCTTATGCCGGAACAACCCGATTTCCTTTCGACTATTGATACCGATTTTAAATCGTTTGGTAGATCAGATTCTAGAATAGCCATTGAGCCAGAAAGCAGATGTCGCCGTGGTTTTGGAGGGGTGGCAATATTATGGCGCAGAGGTATTAAAGTAACCCCATTACTTCAGGATGGTAATGACAGAGTAATTAGCATCTGTGTAGATACGAAAGGCTCTTACATCTATGTAATTGGTGTTCTCACGAGTTTCTTGATACAGTCCAATGTCTGAATGATTTGTATGACAAATATATTGAATTAGGTTCTGTGGTGGTAATGGGCGATTTTAATGTTCACTTGTCAAAAAGTTATGATGTGAAAAAACATAGCGTAGCGAATGAGAGGGGACTTATTATAGAAAAATGTATACAAGATCATCATTTGATATCTTCTAACTCCCAAAGCTGGTCATGTGGGCCAAATTACACATACATATCTGGTGATGGTGATCACGTATCTATGATCGACCATATACTTGTCGAAAAATCCAAAACCGACCTTGTAGATTCCTGTCATATATGTGATGACCATTTTCTTAATATGTCTGACCATCGACCGATACAGCTTACATTTCGAATGAATTGTCATAAACGTGATTATCCATTGCTAGATTCGGCTATCAACTGGAAAAAGTAACGGAAGAACACAAACACATATAAACAACGATTAGATATGCTATTGGAACAAATACAAAATTCCGGCTGATACCTCTGAGATTGCTAAAATAATTAATGTTGCTGCAAAATTATTGTTTCCTACAAAACGGTACAGACATTTTTTTAAAACCGTATTGGAAGTTTAATAATGTGAAATCTCTATATACTAATATGAGATATATGCGGTCTTTATGGATCGATGAAGGTCGTCCACGTGGTGAAGGTCAGGAGACCTACACAAACTAGAAAACCGCGAAGAGATCATTTCGCAATGAATTAAAACTCGCTCGTGAACAGTACGAAAGGGAACAGTTTAAACAACTTGAAAAAATGGCAGAACTCGACACCGGAACATTTTATAAAGCTATACGTACAAAGAGGAATGTAAGTAAAAACACTTCCTCGTACGAATTACTGTCTAATGGAAAGATTACTCGTAATTCATATATTTTGAGAGAAGCATGGTATGAACTTTTTCGTAATTTATCAAGTCCTTTCAATGAACCACACTTTGATGATGAGTTCAAGAAACGCATTGAACGCATGGTCGACCGTATGTACGTTACTAGTTTTAACAATAATGACGGTATTTGTGACGACCCCATTACAGTTTTGGAAATCAAACAGGCTATTAGAGATATGAATAGTGGAAAAGCCGGTGGACACGATGGGATAGTTCTAGAACATATAAGATATGGTAGTTGTAATTTGCTTAACTCAATTGTTGCATGTTTTAATGACATAACAGAAAGGGATGCATACCCTGAACATTTCAAATTACTCTTTTTAAAGGTGGTAAGCGAGATCGGTTGTTAATGGATAATTACAGGGACATAACTCTTACACCGATCCTGCAAAAGTATCTGGAAAAGGTTTTATTCTCTAGAATCTTAAAACAGTGTAATGTCATACAGTTTCCTCATAAGCTTCAACAAGGTTTCAGGGAGCACTGTGGAAGTATCACGGCAGCATTCACCGTAAAGGAATCTATT